GCAACAGCACCACCACCAACAACAACAGCAGCAGCAACAACAACAATAACAACACCAGCACCAACAACAGCAACAACAACAGCAACACCAGCAACAACAACAATCATTTTAAGACTGTTCGCCCTTATCCGCTCGAGTGTCCAATAACGCGTATTTCCCAAACCCTCGATACCCGCCCTCTTCGTCTTCGATCGAACCCCTTTTGAGGGGTATACCTTTCTTCCCTGCAGGCCAGGCCCCGGCAAGCGGCGGGGCGGCCCCGGACCGTCGGCCTTGCCAGCCGCAGCGCTGATCGGCGGGGCGGCCGCGGACCGTCGACCCGACCCCAAGAGGGACGGACAGGGGACCGACCACACGACGACGACGACGACGACGACGACGACGACGACGACGACGACGACGACGACGACGGCGGCGGCGGCGGCGGCGGCGACGACGACGACGACGACGACGACGACGGCGACGGCGGCGACGACGACGACGAGCGAGAGGGATAGCTAGAGAGAACGACAGCAGGGCCACAAGGACACGAAGTAGCCCACGAAGGGCGACAGCGGGGACACGAAGGGAATGCGTATGGGGCCACGAAGAGCGCGAACGAGCGGGGGCCACGAAGGGCAGATAATGCGGGGCCACAGAAGGCAACGATGGGGCCACTGAGGGAAGCAATTGGGCCACGTAGGACAGTGAGGGGGCCACAAACGGCGACAGCGGGCCACGAAGGGCATGCACATGGGACCACAACGGGCGCTCGAGCGGGGGCCACGAAGGGCATGCGTATACTGGGCTGCGGAGGGCATGGACGGGGCCACTGAGGGCAGCAACGGGGCCACGAAGGGCCGCGAGGGGGCCACGAAGGGCGACAGCGGGGCCACGAAGGGCATGCATAATTATGGGGCCACCAATGGCGCGAACGAACGGGGGCCACGAAGGACATACATACATGGGGCCACGAAGGGCAGCGAGGGGGGTCACGAAGGGCTGCAACGGGGCCACGAAGGGCAGCGAGGGGGCCACCAAGGGCTGCAACGGGGCCCAGAAGGGTTGCGACGGGGCCACAAAGGGCAGCGAGGGGGCCACGAAGGGCTGCAACGGGGCCACGAAACAAAGCGAGGGGGCCACGAAGGTCTGCAACGGGGCCACGAACGGCAGCGAGGAGGCCATGAGGGGCTGCAGCGGGGCCACGAGGGGCAGCGATGGGGCCACGAAGGGCTGCAACGGGGCCACGAAGCAAAGCGAGGGAGCTACGAAGGGCTGCAACGGGGCCACGAAGGGCAGCGAACTCCCGATTCCCAGGTAATCTGTGAGGGAGTCCGAATCGTAAGCGCGACTCCTGGGTGCCTGGGTGTCGGGAGCGCGGTGTTTGAGTACATTGCAGGAAATTCTAACGCAAGGGCGCTATTCTTCAGTAAATTGCAAGCGGGTCTCCAGCGAGAGCGCGACTCCAGAGCGCGGGGAGAGCGATTCCTGAATCTACTAAGGAAGTCCCAAGCGAGAGCGCGATTCCTGAATAAGATGCGAGGAAGTCTCGGGCGGGAGCGGGGGTCCTGGCTAAATTGTGAGGAAGTCTAAGGCGGGAGCCGTCGTTGGTGTAACCCGGGGACCAGGGGCCCAGTTTGAACCTCAAGATGTACCTTGATAAAATGCAGGGTGCGAGCGTCGAGGGGCACGCTTTGATCGAGAAAAAACAGTATGTACCGGTGGGGGGATCAATACGTATTTTTCAAGCGTGAGAGTTCAACAACAGCAACAACAACATCAACAACAGCAGCAACAACAGCAACACCAACAATAACAATAACAACAATAATAACAACCACAAAAACAAGAGCAACAACACTAACAACAACAACAACAACAATCACTTTACCCGAACGCTCAGTGTTCTCACCAGTGCCAGGGTTTTCATGCGACGCCAGCCAATACCCCCACTTTGTGGGGGGGCAGTGCAAGCTCTACCAAATATCCACACGACTCTTCGCCACCACCCACACCCAGCTTCCCGCCCTATGACGTTCGGACACTTCACTTCGTGGCCTGCGGACGACCGTGGCTACTACACTGGCGTGGAGTACACACCCACAGAAGTTGTTAGGACAGCGCGCGCGGGTAGAAATTTTGAAAAGTCGTGCAGGTGTTTTTCGAGGACCTACGGTGCGATTCGTGTGATTTTATGATGCGCGGTGCTAAAATTCTTAAGAAGCCCAATGGTTTTTGGAGATTTCGGCGTGCGCGCGCGAAGAAAAAACGAATGTGTCCCGCATGGTATTATTTGACAGGGATGATGGCCCTGGCAGGTGCGCAACCGTTGTCGCAGAAGTTCGAAAAAGTTGCTCGCAAAAGCCCGTTTGACAGAAATGTTTAAAAAGTGTTGGGTTTCCTACGAATCCGCAAGAGCGCGCGGGATGAGATTTTGACATTTTTTTGTTGAAAAACCATTGGTTTTTTGATGTTTTTATGTTAAAATCGCTGCGAACACTAAGCTTTTGGAAGGATTTCGTCTTGCGCGCGCGAATGTCCACTTTACCTTATTTTTTGCAAGGGATTCTTGAAATTTGATTATATTAGAACAAGAAATGTCATTTTATAGTGTTTTTTGCAAGGGAAAGCGGATTACAACAAAACAACCGGATCTGATCACATCGTTTTACCTGAGGCTTCCTCACGAAAATGATGAAAATGTAGCTGCGGCCTAGGCGGCGCAGGGGGGGCGCGCACCAGGGGGCCCAACAATAATTATTCTTTAGAATAAATAATGTTCAACAACAACAACACCAACAACAATAATAATAGCAACAACGCAACAAACATAATTCTCACCACGAGTTCCTTATTCAGCCACGCGCCCAGGGACAATGAAAGACCGTTCGGCCCCTCACATGTTTTTTTGTCTACGGCGACAGCCAGGCCGAAGTGAGAGGGGGCGAGCCTTCGCAAAAGACTCGGAAGGCCTCAGTTCTTCTGAAAAGTTTTCGAAGCCTCGGCCGAAGACGCAGACAAATTCCCGGAAGGCCCGAGCGCTTCCGAGAAGCCCCGCCGCCTGCGGAGGAGGCCTTTTATCGCTTCCCCCCCTCGCTCGCCGCCGACTGGCTGCGGCCAGCAGGAAGCGCGGGCAGGTTCGAGGCGCTGGGTTCGGGCTTTTTTTAAAGTCTGTTTCGGCATCCGGGGGCCGTCCTCGGGCCTCGTTGGGACCGTCGAGAACGCATCCGGGGTGAAGCACTACACCAGATGTCAGTCGGGCCCGTCCTCTTCTACAGGAGGGAACTTCAAAAGAGTCAAAACATCGTCTGGGGACTATTTTTGAGCATTTTTAAAAGTTTTTGAGCATTTTTTTTGTGTATTTTTGATTTTTTGCCCCAAATCCGCCTTTAGGGGGCCTTAGGGGGCCTTGCACCAGATGAACCCGGGAAAGGTTTGGGGACCGACGTGGAGAGGATTTGGCCTCATCACCCCCTCCTGCCCGATTCTCTGGGGTCCCAACTATCGGCGGCCAGCCCAGGGGGGGAAGTGAGATGGAGCGGGCCTTCGCAGAAGGCTCGGACGTTCCCCGGCCTTCTGGGATATTTTCGGAGCCTTCCCGGACGGCACAGAGCACTTCTCAGAGGGCCTCGCTTCCCCCCTCGCTCGCCGCCGAAAACGAGACCGCCAGCGGGCGCCCAAGAGTCCCCCAAGAGGCCCCAGAAGGTTTCCAAGTGGCCAAAAAGGAAGCCCCCACCTTCCAAAGGTCTCGCACGTGGATTCCTCTCCTCTTCGGTGGGTCGGCGGAATGGCGTAAATCTTTTGCATCGACGGGAAGAGGAGGAGGATCTGCAGTCAACCCGAATAGTAAGGATGAACGACTTTCCATGGGTACCCATGCATCCTATCCCTTCGGCCCATCCCTGGCCGCTTTCGCTGGCCGCAACCCGCTCGCAAAGTGCTGACATGGCCTTCCAGGGCCCTGGCATCCTTATCGTGCGTCCTTATTATACGGGTTGACTGTACGATAGGTTCCCGCGGCTTTGGCGCGCCAGCGACGCCTGCGAAAGCGTTCAAGGTTGAATTCTGCAACGCGGAAGCACTGACGGACACGGCAACGCCCCTTGACCCGACGGAATGCAACCTCGAACGATCGGGGCCACGATCGATTCAATGTTGCACGATCGACGCGGTGTCGAAAATCTTTGCGCGCGCCGACGCCGCGCGAACCTAGAGTACGTACGAAACCAGCTCAGCCCTTAGTGGGCCCTGGAAGCGACAGGGCCGTTTTTTTTCTCCCAGTTCCGTTTTGCCGTTTTTTGCTGGTTCCGACGCCTTTTTTTTGTCGGTTCCGTCGCCGTTTTTTTGCGGGTTCCGGCTCCGGCTCCAATCCTGGAGCCGTTTTTTTTTTTGCTGTTTCGGGTCGCCGTTTTCGTTTTTTTGCCGTTTCCATTTTCAAGAGACTTTTTCGGAAATTGTGAACAAACGGTCCTGCCGTTTCCGGGGCCCAAAGGACAGCGTGACGTTGCCACACCAAAAGTCAATGGATATCCTGGAGTCTCAGGGTTGGGTTTCTTGTGGAAGGTTTCTTGTGGTCGGGCCCACACTGTACCGTGCGTGCGAAACAAGCTCTATGTCGGGCATGTCCCTCTACAAGAGGAAATTCAGAAAGAGCCAAAGAAAAGTCACGGGATGATGGTTCGACCCCTTTTTGAGTACTTTGGATGAACATGTTTTGGCTATTCTTGATTATTCCCGGTCGTTCCTTTGGTTTGCATGCGTTCCGCGACCTTCTTGGCGGCGAGCCCCCCTGGTGTTCCTTCAGATCTTGGACCCGCGGGTCCGTTCCTTCGGATCTCGTAGGCTTCCCTGGAACAACAAGGGGCTCCGTCCCTCCTCCATCGCTCCGCAGGCCAGGCCGAATCCTGTACTCTTGACTCTTCCTCCAAGCTCCGCCTGCAGGAGGACGTGCCCGACCTGAGACCAGCTCGGACCCCCGGGCCGCCTCCGGCGCCGGCCACCCCCCCCGCCCCACTGTAGCCATGGCGCGCCTGGCGGCGCTGCTCGCCGCCCTGGCGGCGGCGGCGGCCGCGGCGCAGGACCGGCCCCCGGGGCCTCTGGCGGGCCCTCGAGATGCGAGGACCGAGCCTCGGGGATCGAGCCTCGAGGATCGAAGTTTGAGGACCGAGCCTCGAGGATCGAGATTCGAGGATGGAGCTTCGAGGATCGAACTTCGACGATCGAGCTGCGAGGATCGAAGTTCGAGGATCGAAGTTCGAGGACCGAGCTTCGAGGATTGAGATTCGAGGATCGAGCTTCGAGGATCGAGATTCGAGGACCGAGCTTCGAGGATTGAGATTCGAGGATCGAGCTTCGAGGATCGAGATTCGACGAGCGATCTTCGAGGGTCGAAGTTCGAGCATTGAACTTCGAGGATCGAGACTCGAGGATCGAGATTCAAGGATCGAGATTCGAGGAGCGAAGTTCGAGGATCGAAGTTCGAGCATCAAGATTCGAGGCTCGATGTGAGGCTCGATGTGTGTCCCTCGAGACTCTTTGGCTCAAGGCCCAAGGCACTTTCCACTCCACTCCACTCCACTCTCTTCCCCTACCCGTACGCTCATGCCTGCAGCGATGTCTTCTTCGGGTGATGCGGGCGGCATCTGCGCGCCACGTACCCTAGTCAGGCAATTGTTCCAGGATGACCTTCAGTCACCTGCCTCACTACCTTCGTCGCGTACATCAGCGGGGAGCGAAGCAACACCAAATACGCAGCCCACTGCAGGAGATGGACGGGCTCGAGGATGCCGGGGATTCCAGTGCACTGCATCATCTCTCGCAAACACGTCTGCGCGCAGCCGCAGCCGATAGTCACCCACTGACTGCCGACGACTTCCGGAATATTCTCAACGAGCAGCTTAACCCGATCAGGCACGACATACACGTGCCATCAAGACACACGGATAATCTCAAGCGGACCTCAAGAACACCATTGCACCGGTCAAGCTCTGCCGTCGAGGATCTCACAACACATTTGGAGTCGCTGGAGGCTCGGGACTCGCGGGCACCTACACCAGGACCGACGTCAACGAGGACGGCGTCAGAGGCCGGCGTCGATACCATAATGCAGACGAAGCTCCAGCAATTGGAACAAGAAGTCCAGCTGCTCAAACACCACGGAGGCCCACGTGCTTCCGCCGACGTGCACAACAAGAGGTCGGTCACTGCATTTTTTGGCAATCTCGACGGCTTCGACATGTTCAACATCGCCGCAGCATCGCTCAAGGATCAGCTAGCGACTCTTTCAGGCCCGACTCCACAGAACCTGTACATAGAGGGTGACACGAACCACATCTTGTGCGCTGAGTTCGGGGACGCGCTGGACCGAGACACGGCCGTCGCCCTCATCCGGAGTGCGAGTTTTCAGCTCAACGGGATGAGGATTTGGGCATCCCCGGGTCGACGTCCAACAGACCGCGCAGCGCGAAACTTCTGTTCTGGATTCAAGCACATGCTGAAAGAGCATATGAACATGCAGTTCGTGATCAAAGCCAGCGAGGAGACGCCTTTCCAGTTTCACGTGGGCGGAGAAGTGGCCCTGAGAGTGGCGACGACAGATGCATCTCTGAAGCGGGATTGGGTAAACACTTGGGGCCAGTGGGACGAGCTGCAGACGCGAGAAACTCAAATAGCTCACGGCCAAATGTGACGAATCGGTTGGCAGAGCTTCGACGGGAATGAAGGAAGGTGCCAAGGGAAAATCTAAAGGAACAGTGTCCTTCTGAGAAGCACGGCAGGTTCCGCGCGAGGCCGGGACCGGCACCGATGCCGACTTACCAATACAGGCGACCGTTTTGGCAGGAATTGGCAAATCTACCAACTTGCCTCATCTACCTCCAGAAGTTCACTGGCCACTCATGGTCGACCCCCCGCGGGGGGATGTGTATCATTTGCAGCAGGCAGGGGCGAAGATATCAGGCCCCAGTATTTATTTTGTACCCCATTTCTTTGTCCTCATCGTCTGCGCCATGCCCAATTTCTGTTTCGACTCCTTCATTGCCGACATTCCCGTCGACCCTAATTTGCACATCGTTAGGCCCATTATCCAGATCTTCTACTGTAAGCCGCGCGTGGTTCAGATCACGACGAATATGCGTCCTGGTCCGTAGGGGGACCCGCGCATCGAGCTGACTAAACTTTGTTAAGCAATGGTTTGACATTCAGTCGATATCTTGTGTATCCAGGAAACACGACTCCATGAGACAGAGCACTACGAAGATAATGTTTTTTTGTTTTTCTTTTTCGAGGAAGAACTTCCAGCGCGACGTTCAGTCGCAGGGGTGTTTTTGATTGTTGGCACGTGGGCGCGCGGCGCCGTCGTTCCTTTCCGGGCGCTTACTTCGAGAATCATTGCGCTCAGTGTTCGAGTGCAGCATGGGGTATTGTTGCTTATGTCCGCCTACGTCCCGCGCAGTAGCCACGATTGCGAAGATCGCCAATCTTGCTTCGCAGAGCTGCTAGATGCCGCGCGGCCCGCGACACCGCGCAGCGCAACTATGATATCGGGAGACTTCAACGCGACGTTACTGCGGCAACACTCTGGAGAATAGCGGCGGTTCGTACAACATTTGTATATTTTTGATGGGAGTGCGGCGGCGGCGCGCAAGATATCTCACAGGCAACTGTTGTTCTAGTCGTGTATCGCCGCAGACGTGTTCGCCGTGATTGCATGTGTCGGTGCGCCCACCGATTGGCGCGTCGCATGCCGGAGCCTTGGCGTGAAGTCCATGGGCGCGAGCATCGCCCAGGACAAAGTCTTCCAGATTTACCGTGTGTTATGTCGTGTGTCAGTTCTTCCCTGGGCCGCGCAAGTCAGGGCGCGTCAGACAGAGGCGTGACGCAGCCAACATTATTTGTCGATCATGGCATCGGCGATGCTTGTCCGCCGAACATCTCAATGCCGAAGGCGTTGGCGTGATATCTCGTCTGTGCCAGAGCTGGAGATAGAGGCGAAGTTTATTTCTAAGTCTAACGACGCATGGGCATCGACGCCAGTCTGGCACGGTGCGTTGGATGAGTTGGCCAGTCGCGTTGACTGTGTTTTTGCCATTGCGTCCTCCACCTGTTGGACCAAACACCAGCCGCCCAGCAGCCCATGGAGATCTCAACCTTCCCTGGGCCCCGTCGAACAGCGGGGCTCCGCAAAGTCCGGCGACGCTGGCCGCGAGAAGACTCGAGTTGATTCGGCAAAGCGCCTGGGCCGATCGAACGAGCTGGATAGACGCTTCTCTCGCCGGCGGCAGCTGGGGCGCCGTCAGAAAACTGCGGGAGAAGCATCGAACGAAGCATGCTGGAGTTCGGGCCTTAACGACCAACTTGCAGACGCCGCTGGCCGCCCAGACGCCTTGCCGATTATTTTGAAAAGGTGCAATGGCATGTGCAATTCGCGAATCTGATACCTACTGCCACTGCTGCGCTTGGTGCAGATCTTCTTGTTGAAGCGGGGAATTCAACGACGGCAGAATTTCAGCATGCTGTGGTGCGGATGAAGGGCTGTGGAGCGGCTGGGCCAGGCGAGGCGCCGCAGGATTCCTGGAATGTAGTAGCTCGATGTGCGCGTGCGTGCGAAGCGCTTCTAGGAATATGTCAGAAGTGTTGGAGCGACGAGGACGTGCCGTGCTCGTGGCGAAAGGCCAACGTTGTGCTTCTGTTCGAGAAAGGCAGCGCAGTACTACCTGGCAATTGCCGACCAATCGCGCTACTGATTGTTGGATGATAGGCCCTGGCTGCCACGCTGCGCCGTCTACTTCCTTCGAGAAGGGGCCCGGGAACGTCTGCGCAACGTGCAGTTTGGGCTCCAGCCCCGGCGCGAGGCCGCCGACGCGCTCGTGCTGGCAAGGCGCGCGGTCGCGGCGGTGGTCTTGTTTTGCTCCTACTTGACTGGGCGATGGCATTCGATCGATTGAAACCGGGATGTCTACGCGCGGCCTTGGTGTGTTTTGGATTGCCACTACCAGTCGTAGATAACGCCAGAGGCAATTATTCGCATCGTTATTGTAATCTGCTGATCGTTGTGGTAATTCTTCTGAGCGTAAGCTGACTGCTGGTGTCGCGCGTGGATGTCCTCTGTCACCATATTTGTCATTCTTGTACAAACGGTCACGATGGCAGACGCGTTCTCGGGCCAAAAATTCATCGAGAACCTGGATGTATAGTAGACCAGGAGATCTTATATGCAGACGGCGCAGCGTTGGCATCGCAACGCGTTGCCAAGTTGCAACAGGTTCTGGGGTCTATCATCTCGGAAGAGCAGAAACACGGCTTGGAGTTAAATTGGGACAAGGCCGTTCAGATCCAAGTCTCCACCAGCGACCAAGTAAGTCACGTGGCCGGGCGGGGAACCGATGAAGGGTGCAACAGAAGCGGTATTGGGAGGACTACTTTCGCAAGACGGACGAGGGCGGTTGGGGGGAAGTAGATTTTCTTTTGAGCAACTATGTGAGATCCGGGGATACTCTTGATTTTGGGCGCAACGGAAGCGGTTGATCTACGCGTCGTGCATTCTCAGCGAGCCCCTGTATTCGTTGGACTCGTTGTCGTTGTGGCTCCTGAAAGCAGACAACTGTAGATTTGATGCTTTCCAATGTCAGTGCTTGCGGACAATTATTTGGATCGCCCCGTCTTATTTATCGAGGGTGTCTAACGCAGAGGGGTTGAAAACGGCCGGAACCAAGCCTCTGTCTGCACTTGTGAGTGACCGACAAGTGCATTTTATAGAACTATCGCTTCGCATTGCGACGCTTCACTGGTTGAGCAACGAGTGCGCGATGGGAACAGCCGCTCTGGAAATTGGGCTACTCGGCATAGAGGCCGGGGTCGTCCGAGACAGCAGTGGGCACAGTGCGTGCATATTTTGTCACGCGTGCAGTGTTAGTTCCCCTCCCTGTGCCCCCTTTTCCCGTTCCCCCTCCCCTCTCCCTCCTTCTTCCCGCGACCTGCCTGGGTCTGTAATCTCATTGCGCGTATTTTGTCTTTTGATTGCCGACGTGCAATTTTGTCCGCGCGTTTGCTTGATGCGCGGCTTCAGTCACTCAGCCAG